GAACTACAGGCATGCACTACCACACCTGGCTAATTTTTTTGATTTATTGTAGAGATGAGGGCTCGCCAAATTGTCCGGGCGGGTCTCAAACCGGCGGGCTCAGGCAATCCACTTGCCTCAGCCTCCCAATGCAAAGGGACAAAGGCATTGCAGCGGAACACCATGCCTTTCTCTGTCATGCAAAAAAGACTGCGCTTTAACATAGATTGATGGCTGACAATCCAAAGTACTGAACAACCCTACAAGATTCCTGCTTGATGTCATGCTTTTGTAAAAGAATAGATAGAACGTGCACATGGAAGGTGGTATCCAAGCAGAGAAGGAGTTCAAGATATAATTTGTTGATTTTGTAGAATGTATACTTTGGCAGAAAACAATGAGACGTATGAGTACCATCAAGAAGCAGCAGGATAAACTAATAAAGGAAGGAAAGTACACCCTTCCACCTCACTACCTGGTCAAGGGAGACCACAGGCCCTGAGCAGAACAGCCGCTGACGGCTGGAGGCTGATGTTATATTCTCTGTTCTCCATTGGAAAGATTGTTTACCAAAAGTCTCTTTGTTAGAGTGTGTAAAAAATAAAGGATTGCTCACCCCCCAAAAAGAAAAAGAAAATTAGAATAATTCACAGACAGCCTTTTAGAATTAATAAAAAATATAGCAAAGTGTTTGGATATAAGCTAAAGAGTAATCTTCCGCCTACTCTCCCTAAAAAGTATCTAGAAATAGGCTGGGTGCAGTGGCTCACACCTGTAGTCCCAGCAGTTTGGGAGGCCAAGGTGAGAGGATTGCCTGAGCCCACAGGTTCGAGACCAGCCTGGGCAACTTGGCGAGACCTCATCTCTACAGTAAATCAAAAAATTAGCCAGGCATGGTGGTGTGTACCTGTAGTTCCAGCTACTTGGAAAGCTGAGGTAGAAGGATCACATGAACCCAGCAGGTCAAGGCTGCAGTGGCTGTGAGCATGCCACTGCACTCCAACCTGGGCGACAGAGTGAGACTCCAACTCAAAAAAAAAAAAAGTATCTAGAAATATATCTAAAGCTGTGGATTTTTTATGGAGAAAGTTCTAAATCTTTACTGAAAGGCATTAAAGACAACCCAGTAAATAAATGGGAGAAGCACATGACTATATTTCACGGATATAGTGGTTCAATATTAGATGTGGGTAAATCCACTTAAAATGCCAACAAGATTTTTTTGAGGGTTTAACAAGCTGATTGTAAGGTTTTCCTAAGGCTCAAAAAGAGTCAGTCTACTCCTGAAGAAGTTTATGATTGGGAGGATATGTACTACCAAAGAGATTTGTTAAAAGTTATTAATCAAAAAAATGTGATACAGAAGCAGGAAAGAAATAGGCTAACAGAAAGGAGCCTAAAACTAGATTTGGGCATATAGGAAGATTTGCTTGATTACAGCAGTGGCATAGTAGAAAAGGTAAGGCTCTTCTGTAAACCATGCCATGACAATTGATTATCTGCTTGGACAAAAAAAAAAAAAAAAAATGATATTGAATCCTATCTCATATATACAGAGGGTGCCGAAAATAATCTATACACATTTTAAGAAAGGAAAGAAAATTGTATTGCTCAATATATGCCAATAACAAAAGATAAATACAAGTCACGTTTGACTTCTGCAATTACAAGAGGTGCTCAAAGTGGTTACCATCAGTATCTAAACACTTCTTTTTTATTTATTAATTTTTTTTTTTTTTTTTTTCTTGAGTTGGAGTCTCACTCTGTTGCCCAGACTGGAGTGCAGTGGCCACTCCCGGCCACCGCAGCCTCGACCTGCTGGGCTCCGGCGATCCTTCTGCCTCAGCCTTCCAAGTGGATGGAACTACAGGCGCGCACTACCACGCCCAGCTACTTTTTGATTTATTGTAGAGATGAGGTCTCACCAAGTTGCCCAGGTGGGTCTCGAACCCGCGGGCTCAGGCAATCCACTCACCTCAGCCTCCCAAAGGCACGGGATTACAGGCTGAGCCACTGAACCCAGCCTACTTCTTTTTTATACTTAGCTTTTTCTGTTTTATAAACCCCTCATATTCCTAAAGTCTGAAAGGTATCTTCTCATGTCTTCTAAAAGTGTTACAGTTTGTCTTTTACATGCAATTGTTTCATCAGCCTGAAATTTAATTATGTATATATACACCACACTCTAGTCTGAGTGACAGAGTGAGACTCCAACTCAAAAAAAATAATAAAAATAAAAATAAAATAAAATAAAAAGAAGTATAACTACATTTAACATTAAGGTCTGGCTGGGCTCAGTGATTCAACCTATAGTCCCAGCACTTTGGGAGGCTGAGGTGAGTGGATTGCCTGAGCCTGTGGGTTCAAGACCAGCCTGGCTAACTTGGCAAGACAATAAATAAAAAATTAGCCGGGTGTGGTAGCTGGTACCTGTAGTTCCAGCTACTTGGAAGGCTGAGGTGGAAGGATCACCGGAGCCCAGCAGGTCAACACTGGGTGGCCGTGAGTGTGCCACTGCACTCCAGCCTGGGCGACAGAGTGAGACTCCAACTCAAAAAAAGAATAACAAAACAAAAACATTAAGTTTTTACATTAAGTAAAAACATTAACTTCATATAAAATGTAAAAACTGAAAAAAGTGAAAAGCCACAAACTACTATAATGTATTTGTAGCACAAATAAGTATCAACAATAAACAGAACATCTAAAAGACTAAATCAATAAGAAGAGGATAAATAATTCAATAGAAAGATATTCACACATACACAAGTATTTTTCACAGAAAAGGAAACATGGCTAATAAACACATGAAATCTAATTTTGTTAGTAATCTGGGATGGGTAAATCAATATCTCAGTGAATTGCCCTTTTACACCCAGTAGGTTATCAAACATGACGATACCAAGTATTGGTCAAATATATATCAGCGGGAAGCCATGTGTTGCTTAGCTAGTATAAATTGGCAACAATTTAAGGCAACTTTGACATTAGCTGGTCAAGTTTAACATTTGCTTATCTACAACCCTACAACTAATTTCTTAGAGCAGCAGTTCTCAAAGTGTGGTCTGTAGATACCTGGGATTACAGGCATGAGTCACTGCACTCAGCATGTCCCTGTTTTGAAGATAAAATTCTGAAGCATAGAAGTTAAAGCAACTTTTTCAATGTTGCACACCTAACAAATAGAAGAGCCAGGATTTGAATGTAGTCTGGCTCCAGAGGCCACACCTTTAACTACTATGCTTATACCAATTGCTGTAATACCACATATTTAACAAGCTTATTATTAAAGAGAGAGTGTTAGTGTACATGTGTGGTGTGTGTTGGTGGGGGTAATATTAGAGAGGTCAGGTACTTAGACTATTAGATTTCCTTGAGAGCTGTAGACCCCTGGAAGAGGGATGGGTAAGGATAGAGGTCTAGGAAAAGAATTTTTGGGCCACGTGCGGAAGCTCATGCCTATAATCCCAGCACTTTGGGAGACTGAGATTAGAGGATTGCCTGAGCCCACAGGTTTGAGACCAGCCTGGACTACTTGATAAGACCTCATCTCTACAATTAAAAAAAAAAGAATTTTTGGCAAAGTATTTGTGTCTTTTCTTCTATAGAGACCATGGCGAGTCCAGGGAAAGACAATTATCGAATGAAGAGCTATAAGAACAATGCCCTAAACCCTGAGGAAATGAGGCGAAGAAGAGAGGAAGAGGGCATTCAGCTCCGGAAGCAGAAACGTGAGCAACAGGTGGGTTAACCAGCATATTCTCAAAAATACTGTTCAGGAAACAATCCAGCCCCAGTGATTGGCCTCCACCTTGCACTCCATCTTCCTTTTAGAAAATAGCTTACCTACTTAGTGGACTAGTCATCTAGTTTCCTTTGTTGTAAAGCAATGTCGGAAGCTTTGAGAACGGGAAAACCAATCTTATCTCTTATCCCCTTTAGACCAATTTAGACAACATTTATGTCTTCAGTATAACATTCTAGTTCTAAATCCTTGTTGTATTTTCTTCATACTGTAGTCAGTATTAGACCTGGCCTTCAAGTCTCAGCTCCACGCCTCACCTTTTAAGAGGTTTATCAGCCATTCTAAGCGGGCTACCTTCTATTTTCTTTTTCTTTTTCTTTTCTTTTTTGAGTTGGAGTCTCAGTATGTCACCCAGACTGGAGTGCAGTGGCATGCTCATGGCCACCCCAGCGTTTACCTGCTGGACTCCAGTGATCCTTCCATCTCAGCCTTCCAAGTAGCCAGAACTACAGCATGTGCTACCACGCTTGGCTAATTTTTTTATTTATTGTAGAGACAAGGTCTCACCATGTTGCCCAGGTTGGTCTCGAACTCGCGAGCCAAGGCAGTCCTCTCACCTCGGCCTCCCAAAGTGCTGGGATTACAGGCTTGAGCCACTGTGC